GCTGCCAGCTCTCGTTTCCCGGACGCCGATCGCATTTCTTTGCGGCAGCAGGAGGAAAAAAAAAAAAATGAGACGCCAGAAATAGCCCCCCTTCACACAGACCCACTCACTCTCACCGCTGCGCTGTCAGAGAAACACACACACACACAGGCACACACACAAACACGCATCCACTGCATTTCCTCTCCACCTCACATTCTCAATGCATATGACCTAGGTTATACTGTATGTACACACCTCTACGCATGCAGGCAGTGATGTGTGTGTTTATGCGTGTCCACATGTGTCCGACTTCCTCTGAGCGCATGTATGTGTGTGTGTTTCCTGCGTCTCCAAGGAGGTTGTGTGGGGACTCCTGATTTATTTCACCTTTAATGGGAAGTGAAATGAATGTGAGCAGCAGCTGGTCTGGTCCTCGGAGATACAGCAGTAGGCTAACCCAGAAAATAGGCAGCGTCGCTCTGAAATGGTCCTTACTTCAACAAGTGCCAGGACACGCCACTCTACGCTCCACTAGCCGCACTGTTGGTTTTATTTTAAGCTGCATTTAGGCATTTTGTTGACACCATTACCCTGAATGACTTAAAACAGGTAGGCCCTCATTACAGGTCGGTCTCAAACCTCCGGCCAACCCGATTCTGGTTTCTTTCCTGTCACAACTTTTCAGACAGTAGTTGGAAGGTAAATGGAGTCAGATTAGTAGCAAATAAACCTCGCAACCTCGTGCTGCAAAAGAGGATAAGAGGGGATTATAACCAGATTTGTGGACGAATCTCCATAATCATCTTCTGTGCTTTTCACCTGCAGTTCTCACTGGGTTTTAAAGGAAAGGGAAAAAAAGATCATAATGATGTGCTTGCCTGGTTTGACAAAGTAAAAGAGCCTCTAACCTGTAATTTAAAGGTGCAGCTTTTTCAGAGCGCTGGGCAAGAAACCAAACATTTACATGTCAGTATGTCTGGTCAGTTCTCTCCGTCGGACAGCCGATCACAAGGCTTGAAATACTTTTTCCTTTGTAACTTTTAAAATCATATGCACCAAAATGTTTTTTACTACACAGTTTGGTTTATTTGACGGGGGCTTATCCAACCAAAATTACAGTAATGCAGAGTGAAACTACTTCAAATTGTACATGGTCATAGGAGTATTTTGAGCAGCTTCTCAGCAATATGGAGACGTAAAGTGTCAGTTGTGTGTGTCATGGTCAATGCTGAAGAGTTAGCAGCCTTGCACACAATATTTTCTGCCCCAAGTTACATGAACCGCTGCAAATAGAGGTGAGAATTATGCGCACCACTTAAATTTTACATGCACTACCACTTAAATATATGCGCAAGGTATTTCTAGCTCTGCTATCATGCGTGCATCCGAAAGCACAATAACAAATCACATCTAACCCTACGAACAAACAGCCGATTACTGCCGGTTGGCAGGTTCCTGTTACCTTTGTGTGAGTTCATTCATAACAGAGGAAGTGGAGTCGGCGTCGTTCCACCTCTTTGTTTTATGGATGTAATCAACTATGAGCACCTGGTAGTCTAAATCTATTAGTGACCCAAATGTTGGAGGAATTACACTTGGACACACCGGTGCAGATGGGGAGAAGCTGATGCAGAAAAAAAAAAAAAAAGACGTTGACCTTGTCGGCCATATGGGCACACTTTGGCTTACAGAGCGAAATCAAGCTTAATGTTAACAGGGTCGTAAAATAGTTGCAGCTTTGATATTAAACACAAGCAGTTTGCTCCTACACCTGAAACAGAGCTTTATCATATCATATGATGCTTGAATGGCAAAGAGAAAGTAAAGGCAGAAAACTGCAAAGATTTATATATAATATTGCCAGTTTTAATTGTTGAAACATTTGTGAAACAGTGTTTTTACTTTACGTGTCAGTGCTCTGTTACATTGAAATAGATATGATTTCATTTATAGTTACCGAAATAAATATGGCATTTCATCATCTTATGAATCTGAGGTTATATCGCCCAGCCATAATTCACTGTATTATCAAATTCATTGCGATCTCTCTGTATGATTACACCAAACAAATGACACCATGTTCAAAAATGATTGGTAGCCTAAACTCAGTGATAGTGTTAGTTTTTCTTCAAATTAAAGGTCCAGTATGAAGGATTTGGGGCATCTACTGGCAATATGGAATATAATATTCATACTTTCATCACTTTATAATCACCTGAAACTAAGAATAATTTTACCATACAGTGGGCCGTTTTTATCTACATTTAGAGCATGACGATGCCTCTTACCTGGAGTCTGCCATGTTGTTTCTACAGTAGCCCAGAATGGACAAACCAAACACTGGCTGTAGATAAGGCCATTCATGTTTTTGCATCGGCTATAATACTTGTCACACAAGCTCGGCACATGGAGGACTTTTCATTTTCACTTTTCATCTCACCACTAGATGCCACTGAATCCCACACACTAGACTTACTTTCTACCTCAAGTAAAATGTTGGTCCTTGTTACTTCTCACCGACAACATGGTGATTTTTTTTCTTATCTGTTACTCATTTAAATGTGTTGAAAGTAGAGCTTGGGGATATGGAGAAAATCAAATATTATGATTTGTTTACTAATTAACATGATATCGATATTGAAACAATATTGTAGTGTTGACTATCTGTGCTTTCACAAAATATTTACACAATCAGACTTTTTAGAAATAATCCGTAATGTGGATATGATGACAAAAGTGGGTAAAGGCAAATAATAGAACAGCTAGAACAGTCCGGTAAGTTTAGAAAATTACAGTAATGCTTCACTTTGTAATCCAGGCTATTATTTGCTTAAATCACTGAACTCAACAGGCTTATATTTGGGACAGGCCTTTAATTCCTTTTACACAAACACTTTTGCTCATCAAAAATGGGAATTGCGATCAAATTGTTAGTTGGAACCAGTACGATTATTACTTGTGTAAAAATTAGGCTTTGAATGACATATCAATTGTATGTTATAATATGACACTGGTTTCATGGCACTCGAGGATTACGGCACCCGGCATACCAACACAACACTACTTAATCCTGTTAAAACAATACTCATAACTTGGACTAATTCTTATGAAAAACCATTTTAATTCTTTTGATCGGTGGCCTCTTACAGACGGAAGAAATATGAATATTTTACAGGGTAATATTTTGACTTTGACAGCGTCAGGGACTACACTACTTAATTTTTCACCATGCTGGTAAATCTGAATGAATTGCTGTTTTCTTTGGTGTTCAGGGTTAAGTAAAATGAACTGTGTGTTGACTTTGAAAATAAGAGCGTATCCCAGATCAATGGATCCTTACACCCTTATTGGGTTCAAGTGGTGGTTATCCACTAACAACAATGTCATTGTCCATTACGATGTTTCACTGTGGACATCGTTATATGCTAATTTGGTAGACATCGTCCTACGTTAGTGCAAAATAGTTGTTTTAGTTATTTTTGCATGCTTACACAAATCTGTTGCTAACATTACTGCAAGCTGCCGCTGTCTTACTTAATTTGATGCAGTTGGTTTCATTTTTTCTTGCTGTGGGTCACCGGAATCGGCAGTAACACAGTCATAATGGTGTAACAACAACAACAACAACAACATATCTCACTTGAATTTGGATGTTGTTGTGCACCAGTGGAAATTTTGATGTTTTGATGCTTGCCGTCTCTATAGCCACCCAGGCCTGTTTATTCAGCGATGTGCAAGGTGCTGAGTCCAGTGATGTCACACTATTGGCAGCACTGTTGTGAAGTGATTAATGGGGACAATAGTTCAAAACACAACAGTTGTGCTGTTACCAAAGATTTCAAGAAAGTAATTACCATTTTAAATAACTGGAGACTTGTCTCATCTTCTGACTGTCAATCACGAGCAGATGAGTGACTGTGGTGTCTCATGTAACTTCTTGTAACCACAACACAACAATGGTTCTTTCCCTCAAATGGTTGGTTTTGTATCTTCCTTCCCTGCGGGGCACGAGTAGCTCGAGGATGACATTCCCGACCCTGAGGTCAACCACTGCGGCCACTTAGTTCACTCTGCACACCAAACCCAGGACTACCGCGCGCGGGGAAAACGCTGTGAGCTGTGCGCGGTTTGATTCTCTCGCTAATAGATCAATAAAAGACATTAGCGGCGGGCTAACCCGACGAGCAGCGCTAATACAGGGTTAATCCAGGGTTAATGGCTGAGCAGCATCGTTCTCGGAGGCAGCCATTAGTTTGCAGACGCACCACACAATATCAGGTTCTGCTTCTAGTCATGCCCCGGGCTTCCAGAAAAATAGGCAGAGGGTGGGGGATTGAAAAGAAAAGAATCGTGGATCGCCCTCATGAGTCAAGATGAAAATGAGATATCCAGACAGATGAAACTGAAAGCAAAGGAACTGGAGAGATATTGTAGAAGGGGGTTGAGGCAGTGTGTGGGAAACGTGCACGGAATGAGAAAGAAGGAGATAGAGATGGGACGGTGAAATTGTGGTCAGGAGAAGCAGGAAACTGAGATGAGAGAAAGGGGAGAGAAGCAGAGGGAGGGAGTTGAGCGCTACACTTCTCCCTGTCCTTGTAAAGTGCTGCGTGCTGTCGAGGCGGCAGCCAAGAATGTGTCAGCCCAGCCGTCTCACGCTGCCTAATGGGCTCTTAAACGCTGATATAAAGCTCACTCGCTCTTTCGCCCTCCCCTTTTCCTCTCTCTCCCCCTCTCTTTTTCTGCCTCTGCTGCTCGCTCTCATTACCTCTCGTTCTCACCCTGTCCCTCAGTCTGTCACTCACTCGTCCTCTCCCTCCCTTTCTGTCGCTCCGTCTATCAACCTCTGTCTTTCCCCTTTTTTTCCTGTTTCCTGCCTTTCTACTTCTTCTGACTTCTCCTTCAATTACTTCATCCTCACCCCTGAAGCTCTCTTGCAGGTTGTCTCTTTATTTACAACTTTTTTTTTTTTATGGATGAACTCAATACTTCTGTCTCTCCCTCCCTGTCTCCTCCAACAGGCTCCATAATGCCTTCTACCCAAAGGATCCATCCTTCTCACTCACGCTGTTGCACGTCCTGTCAGCACCACTCCACGGCTTGGCCAATGCCTTTGTCTTTGGCTTGGATAGGGACTGGTGGAGCCTACTGAGCCCCACTGGCATGCAGGTACAACAGCTACGCACACATACATCTGTAGCCCCGTTCAGACATGCAAATCACTGTGCTTGGAATTTAACATGTCGATCATGTCTGAATATGCCCCCAAGGTATTTTTCATAAAAGTTGCTGTGCCAATCTGGCTAGGTCGGACTTGGTAACACTTCCATTCACATTATGCAGATATTTTTTTGACCAAAACACTAAAGCCCTGTTTTCACCAAACACTTTCAGTATGGTACCTTTGGAACCAACAGTAACCCTTCAGACATGGTACCTAGACCCTAGTGTTTCCACCACAAACAGTACCCTTAAATGTGGGCGGGGTTAATGTCACTCACTGCTCCATCCAGCACTCACTGTATTTCCTCATTACCGGTGAAACAGATGGAAGTCTGCACCTCGTTTATCATCCACAGAATGAGGCTGCATGCCGACATTTTCTGAACAAAATAAAACAGACTGCAGTGAGAGTCTCTCTCCATGGGATATTTAAAAATAGCGAGTTTGTGCATTTAGTCCTTCTCAGGCAAGCTCAGGGGTTTAGTGTTGGTGTAGCCCACAGGAACGACGCTCCACAATGCTTTTTTTTCCCCTCTGAGTGAGGATTAGAACATATGCAGTTCACGTAATGCAGTCGAAATTAATATGATCCACTCATTACTAAAAGTGTATGTCATCCAAAAACTAAATTTATAGTCAAAGTTGTCATATGGATTATTTAAGGTGTGCTGATGGATTCACGTTGTCAACTCATCCAAGTTATTTTTTACTCCGACTCCGGCTGCTGTTAGAGGCAGCAAAACATCCTTTTATTTTGTAGTTACAGTTTACTAATAAAACTCTCCACGGTATGAACAGTGGTTACATGAGCCTCAAAACCAGCCACAACTCAGCCCTGAGCAGAGTGACTGTCCTCAATTGACCAATCAACAGACTGCAGTGTTCACAGCTCCACCTTTTAGTACCAGATCTGTGTGCTAGGTACCCCAACAGAGGGGGGACCAAAAATGGGGACGGTACGGAACGATTCCATTAGTACCATCCACAACTTTTCATAGTGGTAACGGAATAAAATCATACCAAACTGAACTGAACCATACTGTACTGCCCGGTGGAAATGGGGCTTAAGACTCCCTTTGCAGCTTACAAGGTTGCTGTGTTCAGATTGCTGTCAGATGGTGCTTGACCACATGTAAATGCACCCAAAATGCATTGGGGACGGATTGTGATCCAACCAGGAGAATCTCCTCTGGAGGTTGTCAGGGACGCATTTGCAGTCACCAGCAAGAGGATTGTGTCCTTTGACACTTAGACGACTGTTTGATCAAATTGAATGAAAAGATATGTATCCATATACTTTTTGGTGTTATTTCTGCTGTACTCAACTTCCACCAAACGGTGACTTCTAAACCTGACTATGATCCAAACTGTGACTTTTGTGTACACCCCTATAAATTAGGTCTGTCTATAATGAGGTGGCCAGTGAAGGTCTTAAAAAATGGTGCAACAGAGTATTTGGTGTAGACAAGGTATCAGTGGTATTGGCAGTAGAAGCAACCACTTCATACTGATAAACAACTGACGCAAGCAGTCGACTAACAGAAAATTAATTGGCAACAAACCAATGCCAAAAATCCACTGATGTGAATATTTCTGACCCTATTAATTTTATTTGTTGGGAAGCTGAATATCTTTGAGTTTTTTGCTGTTGGTTAAGTAATTTAAATGTTCTAACTTGGGCTCTTGGAAACTGTGATCAGCATTTTTATGCCTCTACGCTGTCAATAGCTGTGGCTGAAAGCAAGATGTTTTCGGGTTGTCTGTCCTATTCTCGTTTCTGGATATCTCAAAAAATGCCTTTCTTCAAAATTTGCACAAATGCACTTTACAATGAACTGATTAGATGTGGTGATCAAAGGTCAAGGTCACCGTGACATTGCACCCGTCTCATTCTAGGGAACACGATATCTCAAGAACACCTTGAGGGAGTTTCTTCAAATTTAGCACAAACATCCACTTTGAGTCAAGGATGAACTGATAATTTGGTGGTCAAACGTCAAGGTCAATGTGACCTTGTCCATTACATTCTTGTTAATGCAGTATTTCAAGAACACCTTGAAAGAATTTATTCAAATTTTCCACAAAATGTCCATGTGGACTGAACAATGAACTGATTATATTTTATTGGTCAAAGGTCAAGGTCACTGTGACCTTGCACCTGTCTCATTCTCGTGAAAAGGCTATCTCAAGAACACCTTGAAGGAATTGCTTTAAATTTGGCACAAACCTCCACGCTAAATCAAGGGTGAACTGATAATTTGGAGGTCAAGGTCACTGTGACCTTGTTTGTTGCAATCTTGTTAATGCAGTATTTCAAAAACACCTAGTGTGAATTTCTTCAAATTTGGCACAAGCATCTATTTGTGGAGGATAAACTGATTAGAATTTGGTGATCAAAGGTCAAGGTCACTGTGGCCTTGCACTTGTCTCATTCTCTTGAACAGTGTATCTCAAGAGCACATTGAGGGAAGTTCTTCAAATTTGGCACAAACATCTATTTGGATTTAAAGATGAACTGCTAACAGTTTGGTGGTCAAAGGTCAAGGTCACCGTGACCTTGCACCTGTCTCATTCTCGTGAGCAGGATATCTCAAGTACACTTTAAGGGAATTGGTTAAAATTTGGCACAAACATCCACTTTGAGTCAAGGATGAACTAATAATTTGGCAGGCAAAGTCAAGGTCACTCTGACCTCCTCTGATGCATTATTGTTAATGCAGTATTTCAAGAACATCTTGTGGGAATTGGTACAAACATCAAATTTGTACTCACGGTTGAACTGAATTGAATTTGGTGGTCAAAGGTCACTGTGACCTCACAAAACATGTTTTTAGCCACAACTCAGACATTCGTATGCTCATTATGATTTTTTTTTTTTATCTGAATGTCTCATGGGATAAAATTAAGTGATGACATTTTCGATCTAAAAGGTCAAAGGTCAACTTCACTGTGACATCATAGTGTTCTGCAGAAACACTTTTTAGGCCATTATACTATGCTTCAAACAGAAGGGGAGACATTTGGTCAGATAACAAATTGGTGACACTAATTTTGGGTGTCCACCTTCAAACTGTGTTGATTTTTTAGATCTTCTGTGCTGCTGGGGGAAGGTGTGTGAAGCATCTGTGTTTACTCAGACACGGATGCAAATTGTAACTGCAACTTAACAGGTTCTTGGAGGCATACAACCATGAGGCGGAAATTCTAGTTCACTATTTTCTGACAGTTTATAGACAAAGTGATTGATCGAGAATCAGATTAATTGATAATAGTCATTGCTTATGTATTTTATAATCACTGTAAGAATAAAGAGTTCAAACAGCCCTCATACTCCTTACGAGTTTAAGTTAAGTGATGTTTTAATCCTGCAAAACTGACCAAGTTTTTAGCCGTCTTCTGAGTTCCTCGCTGCAGAATTTGTAATTAGACTACTTAAATTTCCAAATTGACAGGTACCATCTGTCACAGGTGATCACGAATCACCTACACAGGAAATAATTGTTGGGTCTGATACCAAAATCCCCTTATTTAAAGAGTGGAATTACAAATCACTAAGACTTTCATTTTTTATTGCTTTCACAAATCGAGCTTTTAGGGAAATGTAATGAAGACAAAATTACCAGACGGATGATGTTTTTATATTTCAACCGCAAACCTCAGTGGATGCATTTCAATAAACACCACAATCAATACAGTTCTCCACAGATTTGTCTCAATCTACAAACATTGACAGTATCTGCGGATATGAGCCAGAGCTGATATTGAACCACGAAAAAAAGTCTCTGTGGTCCTCTTTCACACGTACACAGACACACACATATTGTCACCTACTCAGTGTCACCAACCCCGTTGATAGCGGGTCATGAGCACAATGTGGAAGACTGGAATGTGTGGTATGACCTTCAACCCAAATGTCAATGTTGCACTGTGGTGAGTCGGGAGAGAGGAGTGAAATGGAATCTCAATGTGTTCGTAAATCACAGAGAAAATGCTGTTTGTGTGTGTCGGAGAGAGGAAAACAGAGAGAGAAGAGGTGAGAAAGAAGACGACATGGGGAGAGAAAGAGAGGGAGACAGGCGGCGTGTGTGTTCGTGCTCTATCGTGACTAACAGCCGGTTGTTATTCATCTTGGCATGCGACTCTCAGCAGCCCCCACACATCAGGTGTGAGATTGGCGGTGGAGAGGAGGGGTAAGGGAGAGAAGGAGGTGGTGGTGGTGGGGATTGTAACAGCGTTAAAGCATTCCTCCCTCAACGCAACAAATCTGCGCTTCCGTACCAGACCCCCCCCCGCCTAACCCTGCCTGCTCAAGCTCACTCGCTGTGTCTCCCTTTCTCTCTGTGTGTCGTGCTGTTTGCCTGCAGTGCATTCACATGCGTTTAAAGGGATTGGCTCAGGTCTTAATACACTTCTTCTATGCCTCATACGCACTGAAAGAGTTGTCGGTCCCTTCTCACCATATTCACCATTAAATGGGAACTCTGGTATTCTGCAACCCAGACCTTATTTTCTGGTGTTTTTGAGTCTAAAGCCCTTTTTACACACTATAGGGCCGCTACAAAGTCCCTTCTTTATGCCGCCTTTGCATTTTTACACAGAACCAAACAACGGTGGCATCATGCGGCTCCAGTGTGTGATTTTTAGACAGCATGCATGCACCGCAGAATCAAAAGAGCCATTTCAGTGTGACATATAACACAACAGCGTCAGCCTCTAGTGTAACTTGTGTCAGCAGTGCTTTATAAACAGTAACAAAGGCATAACATGGCAATAACAGTCATTTACTGTCCCTGTTATGTAGCGGTTGATCTCACTTTGTGCTTGGAGGGTAAAGCCCCGTTTCCACCAAACACTTCCAGTATAGTACCTTTGGAACCAAAAGTTACCCTTCAGACATGGTACCTGGACCCTAGTGTTTGTTGTGTGTTGTGTTACAGTACTCTTAA